TCGAACCCAAACTAACCCACACGATGCGATGAAATACAGCTGAACAACATATAAAAAAGCAGAAATGGGGGAAACGGAGCGGTAACTCATGAAATGACCGACCGAGTCGTTACATCCTCCCCCTCTTAAACAAACGTTCATCCTCGAACGAGTCAAGAAACATACTTGAACCCTCAAATAGGTGAGGATATCCACTCCGCATCTCCCGCTCGGTCTCCCAGGTAGCCTCCTCCACGGGCCGACCTCTCCACTGCACTTTCACTGAAGCTATATCCTTTGATCTCAGCTTCCGAACCTGACGCTCCTGGCTCCACATATTAAGCCAAATCACTGTCTAATGAACCGTACTGAAATCTAAAACATGGGACGGATCGCCAATATACTTCCGGAGCATAGAAACATGAAATATCGGAGGCAAACTCGATAAGCTGTATGGCAAAACAAGCTCATAAGCCACCTCCCCAATCCTCCGAAGCACCTCAAAAGGCCCAATGAACCGAGGACTCAATTTACCCTTCTTCCCAAATCTCATAACACCCTTCATGGGTGAAACCTTCAGTAGAACCTTCTCCCCAACCATGTAGGACACATCACGGACCTTCTTGTCAGCATAACTCTTTTGTCTCGATTGCGCTGTAGGAAGCCGCTCCTGGATCACCTTCACCTTGTCTAAAGCATCCTACACCAAGTCTGTACCCAAAAGCCTAGCCTCACCCAGCACAAACCAATCAACTGGAGATTTACACCGTCTCCCATACAAAGCCTCATAGGGAGCCATCTGAATACTCGACTGATAACTGTTGTTATAAGCAAACTCCGCGAGCGGTAGAAACTGATCCCATGAACCACCCAAATCAATGACACAAGCGCGCAACATGTTCTCCAATATCTGAATAGTGCGCTCGGACTGCCCGTCCGTCTGAGGATTAAAATCTGTGCTCAACTTAACCTGAGTACCCAACTCTCTCTGCACGGCCCTCCAAAACTGTGAAGTAAACTGAGTACCTCTATCTGAAATGATAGAAACTGGGACACCATGCAAGCGAACAATCTCTCGGATATAGATCTCTCCCAACCGCTCTGAATAATAGGTAGTACAAACAAGAATGAAGTGCGCGGACTTAGTCAGCTGATCCACAATCACCCAAATAGCATCAAACTTCTTCAAAGTCCGTGGGAGCCCAACTACAAAGTCCATGGTGATTCGCTCCCACTTCCACTCCGGAATATCCATCTGCTGAAGCAAGCCACCCGGTCTCTGATGCTTATATTTCACCTGCTAACAATTGAGACACCGAGCTACAAATCCCACGATATCCTTCTTCATTCTCTTCCACCAATAATGTTGACTCAGATCCTGATACATCTTCGCGGCACTCGGGTGAATAAAATACCGCGAGCTATAGGCCTCCTCCAGAATCAACTCCCAAAGCCCATCCACATTGGGCACACATATCTGGCCCTGCATCCTCAACACCCTATCATCACCAATAGTCACATCTCTAGCATCGTCGTGCTGAACTCTGTCCTTAAGGACAAGCAAGTGAAGATCATCATACGGGCGCTCTCTGATGCGATCAAACAAGGAAGACCGAGAAACCACACAAGCTAAGACCCGACTGGGCTCCGAAATATCCAACCTCACAAACCGATTGGCCAAGGCCTGAACATCAACTGCGAGAGGTCTCTCCCCAACAGGAATATATGCCAAACTACCCATACTCACCGCCTTCCTACTCAAAGCATCGGCCACTGCATTGGCCTTCCCCGGATGGTACAAGATAGTAATATCATAGTCCTTTAGCAGCTCCAACCATCTCCGCTTCCTCAAATTGAGATCCTTCTGCTTGAACAAGTGCTGGAGGCTACGATGATCAGTAAACACCTCGCAAGACACACCATACAAATAATGCCTCCAAATCTTCAACGCGTGAACAATGACAGCCAACTCTAGATCATGAATGGGGTAGTTCTTCTCATGGGGCTTCAACTGACGAGAAGCATAAGCAATAACTCTACCCTCCTGCATCAACACATATCCAATACCCACTCTCAAAGAATCACAATACACTGTATATGAACCTGAAGCTAATGGCAAAACTAACACTAGAGTCATGGTCAAGGCAGTCTTGAGCTTCTGAAAGCTCCCCTCACACTCATCTGACCACCTGAAAGGCGCACCCTTTTGAGTCAACTTGGTCAAGGGTGATGCAATAGATGAAAATCCCTGAACAAACCGACGGTAATAACCCGCCAAACCAAGAAAACTACGAATCTCTGTGGCTGAGGACGGTCTGGGCCAACTCTGAACCACCTCTATCTTCTTCCGATCAACCTGAATACCCTTACTGGACACCACGTGCCCCAAGAAAGCCACTAAACTGAGCCAAAACTCACATTTGGAGAACTTTGCATAAAGCTTCTCCTCCCTCTATCTCTGCAACACAACTCTCAAATGCTCCGCGTGCTCCTCCTGACTACGCGAGTACACCAGAATATCATCAATGAAAATGATCACAAATGAGTCGAGATAAGGCCGAAACATGTTATTCACCAAATGCATGAACGCTGCTGGGGCATTGGTCAGCCCAAAAGACATCACAACAGATTTTCTGCAGCACACTCCAAAAATCCAAACTCTCCGTCAACCATCCAAATCCATCCCGGGGCCCTCGGGACTTCAACCAAACACGCCAACAAGTCACATAACACTATTCAAACTTGTACCAACCTTTGGACACTTAAAACAACATCGAATCATCAAAACACTCTCCGATTCAAGCCTAAGGTTTCCAAAACTTCCGAATTCTGCTTTTGATCAAAAAGTCTATCAAACCTCATCCGAATGACCTGAAATTTTGCACACACGTCCCAAATGACACAAGACTACTCCAATTTCCGGAATTCCATTCCGACCCCTATATCGAAATTTCTACTACCAACCGGAAAACGCCAAAATTCCAATTTCGCCAATTCAAGCCTAAATCTACACTGGACCTCCAAAATACATTTCGATCACGCTCCTAATTCCCAAATCACCTCACGAAGCTATCCGAATTATAAAAACCAAATTCCGAGATCATTTATTCACAAGTCAACTTTCGGTTGACTTTTCCAACTAAAAAGCCAACTTAAGAGACTAAGTGTCTCATTTCTCCACAAAACCACTCCGAACCCAAACTAACCCACACGATGTGATGAAATATATAAAGAAGCAGAAATGGGGGAAACGGAGGGGTAATTCATAAAACAGCCGGCCGGGTCGTTACATGAATATCCATAATATAATAAATTTATGACATCGTGCTTATAAAATTTGATATTTTTATTTAAAAAAACATAAATTTGCATTTTAGTCCCTGAAGTTTTAACAAATTCTATTTTTTGCTCTTGTGATATTCCGTTATGGACATTTAACCCTCGATCGGTTGAAGTGTGCACTTTTGACGTGTGAATCCTCATAAATCATTAAATTATTGGGATTTTTATACATATAGCTGGTCATATTCATTATTTACTTTTTTAATTTCATCCATATATATATATATATATATATATATATATATATATATATATATATATATATATATATATAGATTATACATAATTATACACATATAGTACATACATTATGCATATATTATACCTTCATCGGCTATTTTTAGTTTAAGCGATTGGGTGGGCGCATAGCCATTCATATTCATTATTTACTTTTTCTAGCCACATACATAGATTAAACATTGATTATACATAATTATACACATATAGTACATAAGTTATGTATATATTAGATCTCCACCAGCTATTTCTAGTTTAAGCGATTGAGTGACCGCTACTTGTGTTAATCCTTCTCGTCCGTTATGTTAAATTTATATTGTTACTTCATGTTTGAGGCTGTTATAGTTCTAAAAATAATCCGAAATTCAATAATTTTCCACGTAATGGGATAAATAAAACACATTTAATTATATTAATTCAAGGGCAAATATACTTATTGAATTATATATCATAAGTATCGGAATAAAAATGTACTAAATATTTGAGTGATCAAAAGTGTATCATCCACGCATATAGGTCCAACTTAATCCTTTCGAAACAGATATTTTGGGCGAGTGTGAAACTTACCTTTCAATAGAAAAGGAGAAAATAAATCGTAAGAGAATATCCAGAAGTAACAATATACTTTGTATTTAGAAGCACTGTACAAATTAACTTAACAATACATACAAAAATGTATTAAACTGGGGCCTATTGGATGCCCAATAACCAGCCTCCCAATTGGTGCAATACAGTTACATATATATTGCCCAAAACTAAATCCATCTAATGAAAAACTTAGGACTTGATTTATTAGAAAAAGAAGAAATAAAATAAACTGAAAGCTCAGCTTTAGTCCAATACTCCTACCAAAATCCTCTTGCCTGTTCTCAAATACTTGGTCCAAAGAATGTCCACTTTGCCAAGAATCATAACTAGACGAGAAGATCATCCCTAGAATTTGTACATACAACTCGTACCCTTCTTGTAATTTAACTGCATATAATATAGTTAAGAAAATGTCATGAATTGGAAAGGTATTAGATAAATCTTTTGGAATGCTACGTAATTTCCAATTTAATCTATCAGGATAAAAGAAGTTTATATATAGCATGTTCGGACAAGCTTATGTGAAGTGAAAAGTGTGTAAAAAAAATGTGAAAAAGTGCTAAGTGCTTATTTTAAAGAGTTTAGGTATTTGGCACTTTTAGAACCTTGGCCAAGCACAAACTGCTGCTCTAATATTGACAAAAATATTTTTCAAATTAATTAGCGAAACACAACTACTACTTCCCGAAAGTACTTTTTGGAAAAGAAATTCCAAAAATAAAAATTGGAAAAAAATAATATGGCCAAGTAAAATAATAACACAGATCAAAGAAAAACTATAATATAGCAAAGGGTTGGAAAGGGTGGTGAAAAATCAATGGAGGAGGTTATCAGCGGTACACTTACCAAATCAATTATCCAATGATTAAACATTTAATTTTGTCAGCTGCTACCAATTCTCCTTTATCTTCAGGTCCAAACTTAATTTTCAAATTATTGCAATAAACCATCATCTTATGACTTTGCCACTCTAAATCAGAAGCTAAAACAGCCTTTAGAGAAATCTCCAAGGAAAATTCTATGTCCCCATCACTTTTATCTTTACTAATTTCTGATATAGCCAATTGATCCAAAACATTTCCTTCAGGTAATGTGGTCAAATTGGACAATATATTCTTTGTACCTTTAGCCTCCAAATTTACAGGATCAAAAGGGGTCACAGCCAAAAGGTAGGTTTTGTAAAAAATGGAAGTCTTGCCATGAAAAACTTTGATTTTTGAGTGATTATTCATGTTACACATAGTGAGATTGACTTGCCAATTTCCAACTATTGAGGAGTTAATAATCCTAAAACTAGGAACACTTAAAGCTAATATGTGAAACACCGGTCCTTCAGTTCCAAAAAGTAGCCAAAATACTAGGCTTAACATGATCATTCCTACTACCAAAATTAGCATCAAAATAACCATCAAACGACCAAATGATGATTTTCCATTGTTTTGTTCTTCCATTGGATTATAAGCCGCCATTGATACATACTTATTAGACGGATAATTGGAGGATGAAGATATGTATAAATTAGGGTTAGGGTTAGGGTTAGGGTTAGGATAGCCTTGGATGGATAAAATATAGCCTTGAGAAAAAGAATTGTATTGTTGGTTACTATCATATTGTGAAGGGAAACCTTGTTTAATACTTTGATTGTATTTGGATAGTGAAGGGTAGCCCATAACATGTTTTTGTTGTTCATTATCCTGCGATCACTACAAGAAAAAGGGTCTTTAGTGAAGGGAAATCTAGTCGCTATATGTCCAAATACGGTCATTATCGATCAATAACAACCGGTAAAAATCTGGTCGTGACCGGTCGTTAAAGGTCTTGACGCTAAAAGTTTACGACTGGATTCCAATCCGGACGTTAAAACTTTTTTATCGACAACAACTAATCCGGTCGTTATAGTACCTTTCAACGACAGAATGTCCCTTCGTTAATTGCCATTTCACTGTCGTTAACAGGCTCTAATAATGACAACTAATTCTGCTTTTAACGACCACAATTACTCTCGCTAATTGTGAATTGCTCTCAACATTACGTTTAATGGCCAAAATTCTATTCGCTAATGATAATTTTAATAAATATGATTAGATGGAACTAATGGATCACATCACCAAAAATATAAACATTTAATACTCATAAAACATCATTGTTAATTACAAAGGACTAATACATCACATAGACTAAAATATATAAATATTAAATTGTATGACATTATTCTTTTCAAAGTCCAAAAAGAAAAGAAAAGAATTGTAGCATCTAAAAGGACAACTCAACCCCTTGCAAAACAAAGTAGGTTCCTCTCGCAATTCAACTTGGTCTTTAACATTTACAGCTACTTCAACTCGCTCAACAATACCCCTTGCTTCAATTGTGAATAAGTCCATGAAGTAGTACCCATTGCTCAACAATAACGCTTGCTTCAAGACCAAATATTTTCACATCCTAAGAAGTAGATTCAGAATTAAGTAAACAAGTCCATCATTCAGTAACGAAAGAAAAAAAGACGCTTCAAGTATCTTTCAATTTGCAATCCATTAAATTGAGAATTCAGCCACTAAATATCATCGTGAAACTGTTCATAAACACGAGAAGGCAAAAAGAAAAATAGTAGCAAGCCTGAGAGCAGGAGCATACAAAAAAAAACATAGTGCTCAGCTGCTACGAACTATGTTCATCCTTTACGACTGCATAAAGAGCCAATAGGAGATACCTGCCGGAAGAGATCCTCTTCACTTTCATAGGAGACCATTGTACAATAATTTTTGAATTTCTTTTCCAATCATCAGCTGAAGATTGATTCAACGTTTTCCACTTTCTTTTCCCCTAATAAAATCAATATTCACATTGCCAAATATAAAGACCATGTTAAATGATTTAACGAGGCATTCCTACAACTAAATGATACTATAGTTTAGAAAATACAGAACGGGATATAAAAACTATCTTTATTGAAATTCTAAACTAACATTTTGAATATGAAAATTTAAAGTACCAAGTAAATAATGCTAAATATGTTCCGTAATCCAATAAATCAACAAGAAGAAACCAGGAAGTCATAGCATAGGAACAACAACACCTTATTTTCTTGTACTCCTTAAAAATGTATATGACAAAATTCCAACACTGTGTTGTGCTACAGAAACAAAAAGAATATCTTACTTCTAATATTGCAATTCTAATCACTAGAAACATGACAATATGAGAAACTAGCAAGAACAGTTATGAGGACAATAAAAATACCTTCTTCCTTCTCTTCCTTTGCAACGCGAACAATAAAATCACATCTGCCCCGAGTCTCATGCGACTTGTTTTCAAATTATTTCCATTTAGCAACTCATTACAAAGTTATAAGTCAATTGTTGCATACTAAAGTATTGTTGTATAGTTTCCAAGCATGCAATCGTAGTAAGACTGAGATGGTATCCCGATTTACAAGGCGCACTTTATTTGGATATAATGATATGATTTGATTTGGTGACTACCAAAGTTTTGAATATCTGGATATATAGCATGTACTGGGATTATTGGGTGGATCAAATTAAGAAGATGCATAAAATATTTAACATACAGAGAACGAACATATTTGGAACGCCAATAGTTCCTCATAGAGAGCCAACAAATCAACTCAAACCCTCTGCACTATCTTCAAGAAAGATTCTTGATTTGATAAGAGGACAAGTGCATGATAGTGAAGTAAGAAACCTCATACTATCTCCCCTTGTTGTAGAAAACAAATGAATTAAATACTAGTTTGCTACTATTGTAAGACGTGAAATAAAGATCCGAAGTACATCTCACAAAAATATGAACTATTAGGGCGTTTTACATCAATATAACTAAACTAGATTGAAGGGAAAAAAGACATCACTTACTTGAAAATTACATGTCTCGTCTCCTGATAAATGGCGCACTATTTCTTTAGCAAAATACCTAACTCAAGGAGCATCTCCTTAGAATCTAACTTCAAAAATTCAACTATTGATCAACAGATAAAGATAATAATATATTTTTAAAAATGCTAAATAACATATGTAAGCTAACTAGTTTACAAATGTTACACATTAATGAAAGTTAGGGAAAAAATATAAAATTATAGGCTTCAATTCTTGCGTCTTAAAAACAATTGAAATGTTTTCATGAATGCCGAAATAAAAAGGTAGATATTTAGACAAATCTACGAATGTAGTGAGACAGAGAGAGAGAAGTTGTACCTATTTCCTCTGAACATAGAATATAAACTGCACCCATTTCCTCTGAACCATGACAAATGTTACCATTGAATGATCTAGAAAGAAAAGAAATACGTAACTATAAATCTACCTTCAACTGCACATTAATGATAAGCTAATCTTCAAAGACAAAAAAGGTGTAATCAGCTAACAAGTGCTTCAAAAAGTTTGGCAAGTCCATTCTTCCAGCTTCGCTACGTCTGTCTTCGCATTCGCCCTTTCTTCAGCACTATTAGAGATTAAATCGTATTCCTCCATCTTAACAAGCCATCCCTTCTACAAACCTTCTTCATCACAGTAGGATATATGTTCATTTTCTTAGCATTTACAGCAATGGGAAGATGAAAATATCCTGAAAAGTCTTTCAATTCTACCGTTGCAGTTCATTCCCTCTATTCTATTAAAGAAAAAAATGGTCCTAATTCAAAATACAACGATGAAAAAAGACGGCAATATCTCTACGTAAATGTATAGTACCAAAGAAAACTTTAAAAAAAATGAACAATCAAGTCCTGCTAAGATGCCTTTTTTCAAGCTTTCAATGTGACATACTACAAAAGTGTGGCATGTTTCATGTCTGGTCATTTCCCTTGGCCTCTCTTTCCTGTTTCATGTATGTGGTTCATTTGACAATCTTCTGCGCACAATTAAAGATTATCCAACATCATTATGTCAGTGATATAGAGCTAATGGAGTACCATTTGATATATAATAAAATAAGGTTTCATTCATAGCATTAACTCGAGCTAAACAAAACTAATATCTGTTCACACTTTTTGAAGTATATTATGGATGTCAAGTTCGTCCCAACCATCAGATTCAACACTTAAAGCTTCACAGAAATCATAGAATGGATCTTGTAGCAAAATATAACCTTCATGGTTACATGTGCCAGGATATTTTTTTGATAAGGAAAACTACTAGTAAATATTATGGGTTGTGACAGCTGTGGGATTTGAACCCACGCACAAGTGTAAAGATATTGAATTACAAATTACTTAACAAAGCTTGTACAACCCTTTCTAAAATCGTTAAAGCAGAAGACAAAACTAATAATTAAACTTGTCAAGCAAGTGCCTAAAGTACATTGTAAACTAGAGCAGAAGAGGGGAAAATCCATGTTCTAGAAGAGCATAAAAAGAACTAAATATTTGGAGCGACTCAAGACTATGGTGAACAATTTAAGGGTTGTAATGAGCTTGAGCAGTGTGCATAATCGAAGCATCTAAGTTTTAACCATAAAGGAAGAAGGAAAACCTGTTGAAGCGTGCAATCGTTGTAAAGAAAGACTCATCGGAGGGTAACTGTAGTGATAGCCAAATAACAGGATAATATCTTGCATAGAACAGCAGTTTCGGACAATTAACGCCAAAACAATATCATGATTTGTCGAAACAAGGGACAGAGCTCGATAGAACTTTAACAAACTGAACGAGATGGCATTCTGCGATACGAAAGGCATATTTGAAGAGGTACAACAACCCCTGTTCAAGCCCGGATTTAGTGCCTAGGGTTATATAAATTTCAGTGACTCAGACGACGAATTGGAAGACGTCTGCGATGGTGAATCAAAATAGGTTGAAGGCTTTTGGAATAATTGACAGTGATTTCAAATTAAGAGTAAAAGAGGGCTGAAATCAACAAAATGTTAATGAGGGTTTCTTTTGCTTTGGTAGAGTTGGGATTCGGGAAGGGGAAAGGAAAATAATTAACGCCCTATTTTCTAATCAATTAGTGCTAATTAGTTTTACCGTCCGGATATTAAGACTTTTAAGGGATGTATATTGTCCCTTCGTTAATATGAACTTAAAATTGGCTTTAACGTCCAAAAAAAGATGTGGCCACTATAAGTACACTTATAATAACCAGCTCTAGCTCCCTTCGTTAAAAAGTGATGGTTAAAAGTCAATTTTTCTGAAGTGGATAGAGTCATGATTTGACTAATGCTTTTTCCTCTCTCTCCTTTGATAAATCAGAGAGGAGGATAGGAAGATATGAAAAATGAAAAAAAATCAAGTAAATGAAAAAGTGGAAGTAGAAAGTGTGTTAATTGAATTTTGAAGTGAAAAAGATGTTAGTTAACATTGGTACGAATTGGAGATGAGGATAAGAAAATAACTAACAGCCAGATAAAAACAAAATGACGACCATTCAATTTTAACTGGTTTGCCTTTGAAGGATTGGATTAGGATATGTGGTAAGTGATTCAGAGTATACTTGTCTGCATCAGTTGTTTATTTTAA